TTTAGGGTTCAGGTTTTAGGGAAATCGGGGCCCAGTCTATGAGCACCTTCAACACCAGGGTTTAGGGTTTAGGGTTTAGGGATTATTGAGCTCTACTTAGTTGGTACTCAGACGAGCAGCGGCTTTTGATGAATGCATGAAGTAGCACAACGTCGGTTCTTCGGCATGTGGCAGTTTTTCTACATTGAGGGAACTCAATAGAGACCCCGATAAACTATATTCCTTATTATGGGCCCTGTAAGTGGTACCTTTAATGTTTGGAAACCAGGCTCCCTAGAACCCGCTATCTAACCCCCATGTCGATTTCATAATCCATGTTCGATTTGATTCTCCATTATGAGGGATAACACACAAAACCCTAGACCCATATATATATATATGTATATGTATATATATATATCCACTGATCGTCAGCGAGGTAGGAAAGTGTTGCATCTTGATAACTCTCGGTGAGGACACGCCTGCTAGTTGTGCAGACTCAAATGGAAGCGACATAGAAGACTGAATGCGGTTCAGGGTTTAGGGTTTATAGGTCTTGTCTTCCCGGAAATCCTTTCATTGTAGCATGGTACTCCCTGAAACCCTACTCTAATGTCTAAGCACCTGCGCCTCCTTTGCTAAGAGGGTCGTGGTTACTTCAACCACAAACAGCAGGACTCTATGACAATCAAATGACTCTTATAAGGTTCTTGTTGTAGGGGTTGGGGTCGCCCGAATCCTCCCAATCACTTCATACCAATCTTAATACCAATGTTAATCTCCCCCACCGCTCATATAACGTATTCCCCAGAAGGGACCTTGCGACAATGTAATCTATTTAGTATCAGGGGTGGGCGTGTTGAATGACAGCATGGAGGGACTATGATTAAGCCCTAAAGCCTCAAACCACAAATCCTTGAACCGTAAACCCTAAATCCGCAAACCGGGGTTTAGGGCGGGTCCCCTTTGCAAGATTTTTAGGGATTGAAGGGTCCCCTTAAAGGGTTGAAGTTTATAGGGTTCTCAGGACCGATTTCATGGTTTACAGGGAGATCTACAGTTAGCTGTTCAGGACTGATACTTTAGCTTTTAGGGTTTAGGGTTTAGATCAAATATTTCAAAGCTTGAAAAGGGAGTTTCCAAATCCAGGGTCTTGACTAGACACCGCAGGATACTACAACCGTTACGCTATGGACCGTCTCAAGGGGCGGAACCCTGATTGTAGGACACGACCACCCCATAGACGGGGTTGCTGTTAGGAAACTTCGATTAAGTTGCATTCGTAATGAGGAAACCCTTAAAATTACTATGTACTCATGTTACGGTAACTTAGTTTAAATTCCTTAACAGCAACCCGGTAGAGCGACTTCCAGGTTTTGGTAAGGAGCTTTGGCGAACAGGCCCTCAGTCGGCATATCTTTCACCGACATGGCTGCCCAAATCTGGATCTCCCTATAAGCCCTGAAAGGGGCCCTTAGAACCCTATAAACTTTACAACCTTTAAGGAGACCCTTCTATCCCTATAAGATCTTGCAAAGGGGATTCGTGGCAGATAGCCGAAGGCGCGGGCAAACTGAGAATTTGTTGAGCCTAGCACGATCGGAAAGCATGCATGAATAAAGCTTGACACATTGCCAACCTACATACTTGGCTTTCAACGGCGTCTTCGTTCAATGGGAATTTCCATATTAGTTCTAGTCTGGAGGCTGCTAAGCGACATGAACCTGTCTTGGCCACCCCAATTCCCTAAGCTTGCCATCTATGTTACGATAAAGCCACATGCAAGGCTCCAAATAAACTCTGCAGATGTCCGCTGAAGGAAATTCACCAGAGAAAGGTTGAGGGCTGTTGGGTTTAGGGGAGAAACCCACTGCGCACGTCAGTGCCTCATGAGAATGTTGAATTTCCAAGTCATAAATGATATCTGAGCGCAGCACGCAGATCCCCGTGCGGGCAACGTTTTGGGGAGGGTCAGGCGGACTTCGTAAATATACTTAGTCTGGTAAGCCATATGTTCATCCCAGATGCCCCCATTGTTGAACTACTTAAGAGCCGCCCTGACCATCCAAGTTAGCTTTCCGAAGGCCACCCGTGCTGAAAAGGTGGTGCCTCATTGCGGACCTTGGTTTACGGTTTTATTGCAATGCGCGGAAGTTTCGTGCACTCTGGCGACCCTTTGTGGGCAGATATCATGATCGCTGGGAAACTTCTGGATGTAGCCATATCCTGCTGAAAAAGGTGAAATCTTGAGCGAATGCGCTGTCTATCCGAACGGGAAGGGGGTACAGAATATACCCCAAAGGAGCCATGTAGCTATGTGGTATATTCTTGGGCCCTAAGGTACCTATATGGGAACCCCTTCGGGCCCTAAGTATATACCATGTGGGTACTGCAGCTACTTCAAGGCTTCTTCTCCAGGGATGACACGACGAGTTTGACAGTTTCTTCCATAATTGAGAATTAACACCTCAAACCAACAACCCTAGCCGCCAACACCCTGAACCCCACTTAAACCATACAGGCAGCTGCCTTTACTGATTATAACTTAAACTGGAAGTGGGTTGTGAATAGCCACCGAGTGACGTTATAGAGCTCACAAGTTCCATCCCCACCCCCAGTGAAAGACACCCGTATCCACCCCAAATAATGAACAGGGTAAACTAGCATAATTTCAATTCCCAATCTAAGGCCATTTTGGTACTATTCCCTATATAAACCACCATTTAGGGTGAGGTCGGGTGAGGTCGCCTTAAATTGCCCAGAATGAACCCCTCCTCCCCGCAACATTAGAATTTTTTTTTAGACGGGCTGTTCATCATAAGGGGCGCAGGGGTCACGTTTAGGGGGAGGCGATTGGATGTGCAACTCGGGGGCCTCACCTGGTAAATCTCAGGTCAAATTTGGCTTAGGGTAGTTTCCCTAAATAGGAGGCCCCAACATAGACCCCAACATATTACAGTTCTTACTCTGGAAACACCCAAGAAGGTACTCCTAATTTTGGCAAAACCCAATTTAGAACAGGGTCACCAACCGATCCTTGGATGCTTGTCCCGACGCCCAGGGTGGTCAGGGTGGTGGCTACCAGGGCAGCATTGGCAAATGCCTGCACTTCTTGCTGCCCGTACAACATCCATCTTGCTACGGGTCCTAAGCCCTAAACCCTACCTACTATTCCATTAACCTTATCGAGGAGTCTTCATCGTGGAGGGTGTGGGCGTTGTGGGCATACTGGTGATACTCAACTCTTGCCATTAGAGATTTTGGCAGGCTTGAGGTTGAGGCTTTGCGGCTTAAGGCTTCGCGTTCCATTATCCCAAGCTCTCTGTCAAAGACCAAAAGTCCTGCAGTGTCATGGTGGTATTTCGGAACAGGCCTCTCAACCGCATGCTTACACACTGTCAGAGTTGTCTTGATATTTGCCAGAACGGCAGTTGTTGAAAACCGAGATCCTCGAGAATAGTCCAATGATTTTCTTTCCTCCAAACACCTCAAGACTCGGACCGGATGACTATCATGTACATAGAATGGGGTCC